GTCCACGCCCACACGGCAGGGAAATGCCCGCACCACGTCGTGGCGTACCGGGTGCCCCCGTCGCTGGCGACGCGGTGGCTCGCATATACAGCCCGCGCGGCCCAGGCAGACCGCCGCCAAAGGGCCAAATGCGGCGTGATTGTTACTGCCCACACTACTACACATCCCCGAGCCGCGCCCATTCATTCTGGCCGCTGCGCTGCGGCTTCCCCCGTCCTTTTGGGCTTGGTCCGGACGCGCCGCCAGCGCCCTCGCGCGGTTGACGGCCGCACCCTACATAAGGCGTGCGGGTGCGCGGCCAACGACGGCCCGCCGCTGGTTGCGTTCTCTGCAGCACTGCTCCGCCGTTTCTCTCACTTACCTCATCAAGCCGTTTCTGTTCCTCTTCCCGCTCATCGCTCTCTTTGGACTGTTGTCGCTTCTGTTGATCGGACGGCAACTTTCGCAAAGGTCGATTTTCCACCGCCAGGCCCCTCCATCTTGTGTCGTGCCTGCGCAAGCACCCGGCTCCCGCGTTGCGAAGAGGACAGGATGGCAAAGATTCGCACTTTGTTCCTTGCTGCTGCTGCGCTCCTGCTGGCGCTCACGCTGGTGGCTGCTGCCCCTGTCGATGTGGCCCCCAAGCAGTCCCGTCGCGACTACAACCAGGTGGGCACCGCGTACTCGTACAAGCCCGGCCCGCTCGGCGTGGTGACCCAGAAGGTGGCAAAGCTCGTCTACACCCAGGTCCCCGGTCTGAGCAAGGCGCCCGCCCAGCCGTCGTCGTACACTTCGTCGCCCCCCGCGTACTCGAACGACTGGAAGTCGCAGATGCTCCAGCACCTCAACTCCATCCGCGCCGAGGTCGGCAAGGGCCCCGTGACCCTCAACCAGAACCTGAACGCGTTGGCGCAGGACCACTCCCAGTACCAGGCCTCGGTCAACACGATGACCCACTCGGACCCCGGGGGCTCGCTTGGCAGCCGCTGCAGCCAGTACGGCATCGACTGGAGCGGCGTGGCTGAGAACGTGGCCTACAACTACCCGGACGTCGCGTCGGTCATGCAGGGCTGGAAGACGAGCCCCGGCCACTACGCCAACATGATTGGCAACTACAACTCTGTCGGGTTTGGCGTGTCGAGCAACTACTGGACGCAGGACTTTGCCAACATCTAGGCCAGCGGTAGCTTTTCTGGCACAGACGGTTCGTTGCCTTTTTCCCTTGTGTAATTCGCTGCGGGCTCTCTGAAACCGTTTCCCGCTGTGGGCTGAGCACGACCGGGCAGGGGACTGCCCGACAACTTTACTGCCGGCCAGGCGCAGTAGCGTTGCGCGGCAGTCTGCCGGAAAGCGCTAGCGATCAGTTTTTCTTTGCGCTGTTCCTAGTCTCCGCGCTAGCTACGCTGACGAAATTACGCTTGCAGAACCGGGCGTCGCAGCCCGGAATCCGCCAAGCTGTTGTAGTATAGTGGTGATTACGTCACGTTGTGGCCGTGACAACCCAGGTTCGATTCCTGGCAACAGCACTTTTTGGCGTTTTCATTTTGCCCGGCGGCGTCGGGGCATGGTCACGTGTGCCGCACTCGGTGGCTGCGAAAGCGCCCGCCCTCACGTGCTGGGCGTGCTTGGCTCTGCTCTGCACGCTTGGCATTCTTTTTTCGCCGCACTCTTGGCTTTCTCGGAGCTGCTCATCCCGCAATGGCTGCGGGCGTAAAGAGTAAGCGCGCGTGCGGGCGGGGCGGGGCGCACTCGCTGGACGAGGGCGGGCGGCGATGACGCTAAACCATTCGACTCTGTGCGTGTGTGACGCTGCTGTGTATGTGACGCGACGCATTCCTCTCTGCATGCGGACAGCGCCGGTGTTTAGCGTAAGTGTCC